CAGTAATGGGGCTTTCAGTTGAGAGTGGATTTCAGTCATTTGGCTTCCAGTGCATATGCTTCAACTGTATTAATAAATTCTTTTAGTTAATCTGAGTGGCAGTGCCACTTAATGTGCGATTGGACAAGTGAAAACATCATCCACCCAGAACTGAAGGCCAAGCAATCTGTACAGTAAGAGCTTTGTGCTGGTATCAAGCCAAAATTGAATCCAAATACTGAAAGAAAATGCATTTCACTTAATTATGCATTTTTGGCTATTTAAATATCCAGAATCATTTTCACCAATTACACATATTTGTTTTGTTCTCTACTGCAGAAATCAAAAGGCAATTCATACAATTAAGCTGATCAGAAGATAAGCTGTTCAATACTTGTTGTTCAGCAGTATTTGAAATTCCCCAAAGAAATCAGTGAACTGCTTTGCCTTCCATACTTGCATCCTACTCCCAAGCTATAGCTCAGGCTATATGTTCTTGTTCTTGCCTGCTCCATCTTTATCCCATGCTAGTCCTGGTTTCTATTCTGGGAAATGTTTTGGATCCGCTGTGAAACAATGGGTCAGCAATAGAGACAACCACTGTCTGAGTGACTGCCGTGTCTGCAGGAAATGTTTCCCAAACTACTTGGGTTTTTTAGTTTCTGACACTGCTTGAATGCTCTGGTCTTATCACTCTTCTATTATAGATGAGGTGGTAGAACATGATGTCTGTCATCTGTTAAACTTGATTGCGCATCCACATGTTCGTCTTCTTTGCTAGGCTTGGTCCAAAACCTGCAGTCAGACCCTGTAGTCCCTTTCTGCTCATTGGTGCCTGGTCTAGAGCAGCACTTTGCTTGGATCCATGCATGCGTTTTCCTACAGCTGGTTTTCATTGTCATTTGCATTGAGTCCAGCTCAAAATGTGAGTTTTTGCCTGCATATGTGGGTATGAAAATGGTTTTGGGGTTCAAAGCATTCAGGTGACTGCAGCTAGTATATGAGATTGTGTAAACTGGGGGTTACTGTCTGAGTGGGCAAAAGTGAAAGAGGATACCAGAGGGGTGAGGCACTGAAAGGGGTTGCCCAGAGAAGTTGTGGAGTCTCCATTCTGAGAGATGCTCAGCCTAAACTGAAAAGGGCCTTGAGCAACCTATGTACATCTAACCTACTCGTGAATGAGGGGTTGGAACAGGTGACTTTGAAAAGTCCCTTCCAACTGAAATAGTTCTGTGAATCTATGGCTCTTATTCAGTTGCTCTGTGGGCTATTGGACTGACTAGGTTTGGGCAGTTGAGAGAGCAGGTGTGGTCTAGAGGAAGGAGAATGTGTAGAAATACCGTTTAATTTATATACGTTCCTTAAATTCTACTTGTGCTGTGTTTTGAAAGGCTCTTTAAGCTGTATCCCTTCTAACTTGAGGATATATGGTTATCCTGTGTCTGTCATTAACACTATACATAAGAGCATGTGTTGAGACTGATACCTCAAAATTGAGCCTCAATGCAACAGGAATTGTTAAAAGCCTGATCGGGACATCACTGGTGCAACTTAGTGAGCACAGCCAGACACAGGCTTCCAAAGATAGATTTGAATGGCTTGCCATTAGGAGAGTCTTGGAGATAGGGTACAAATTAGAGTATTTTATGTATTCTGTCCTAATTACACTCTTATGCTCAGATAGAATAGAGAAAGAATAAACATTACTTTCTTTAAAAAAAAAAGATTAGTAAGGACATGGGGGAATGGACACCTACACACTGCTTTCTTCAAATACACAACATGCTGTGATGCTTAATATTTCTAAAAATGGAAGAAATGCTGAGATGTTCAGATTGACATTTCAGTGCCTGTCTGATTTGTGTGTCTGTCTGAAATATAGGGTTCAATAATCCTATTATGTGTGTCTGGCACACTCCTTTAGCGATGTGCCTTCCATAACTGCTATAATAAGACAGAACAGCCAAAGCCTAAATCTGTGTGTCTCATCCTGTCACTCAGCAAAGTTATACTGTCATCAGAAGCAATGTATTGTTTTCTTTCCTGCTGTGTGGTATTGAGTTTTCTAACCTTTCTTAAAGTTAAATTTGTTTGGCTTTTTAACTTTCTTGCCAAAGGTTAATGTTATTAAGTTGAGCAGGTAGCTGTAAAAACTACAAGCCTTAACTGCCTACCTTGCAGTAGTTGTACTGTCCTTTTATTAAACCCTAGCTGCATTGGAAAGCTCTGTCTTGTACATTTTTGTCATTCAGGAGTAGTGAAAGTTGGCAAGAACTACATTTGACCTGTTGTCCAGTTCTGTGGTATAAAGTATTGTGTTTGATTTGTCAGGAGCATCAGGTTTATCATAAACTCTCTTACCATCAGTGAACATGAACTGCACAGACATTAATTGCAGCTTGCTGTAAAAAGGATGCAGGAAGATTCAAGTGCTGCTGCCCGTCTTCTTCCCCAGCACAGCCTGACCATGCTAGTCTCTTTCCCACTGTGGCAAAAGGAGATCTAAAGTTTCTGCTGATTTCCAGAGCTGGTTATCTGCTTGGTGTGGAAAGAGAGTAAGAAATTAGTTTAATTTGAAGGAAGTGGTGACACTGTCAACATTTTTCAGAATGATCTACAGCAGTACTTGTATGGAGTATCAGAGGTGCAGACAGTGAGTGAACAGTTTCAGGATACAGTAGCAGGTCTGAAAGTCAGATGTCCACCTGTGCTGCATCATGGAGTTCTTCTGGAGCTGCCACTAGTCACAGTCAGTGCTCTGCAGCCACCATGCTGACATTACCTTGCCTTGCAGTTGCTCTGAAGCATTTTTCTTATAAAAGAATGTCCTGAGAAACTAGTCAAGAGCTAACTTCCAGTGAAATACTCTTCACAGTAGAAAGCATAAAATAATAATAATTGAAGATGTTCTAGGTTAGTACTTTAAAAATACATATATAAAAAGCCAGACAATCTGGTCTTCCCTGGGTGGAAAGCAGAACTGCAGCCTACCTGTAGCTACCAAACCTGACTGTTCAAGGAAGAGATCCAGTTTGTTAATGACTGCAGGAAGGAGTATTTCAAAGTGCTGGGGGAGAGTGAGGGTTAAATCTTTCATTTATAAATCGGTATCTATAAACCACTTCTACCAGTGCTGTGAAGCCAAGCTGTGGCCCTGGCAAAAGATGAAAGATCTTCCTTCTCTCCTGAGTGCAGGTTCTGCCTTTTCTCCCAAGCTCAACAGTAGCTGTTCCTGCCACTGATTTAGTCTTTGTCTGTCATGTTCTCGTGCTGTTCAAAGGCTGATTGTGAAAGACTGGGGAGGTTCTGTCTGTTCACAGTTTCTCACAGCTTGGTCTCTCTTACCACTATCCATGCCAATAACAAGACTCTGTGAGCACCCTGTTCTTAGTGAATGAGCCATCTTTTAATTTAGAATGGCTTTGATTAACAAACTCCCTTCTCTAGTTCTCAGATCCAACTGTGAACTTTCTGGGTGGGCCCGAGCATCCCTATATCTTTCCTGGGCTCCCTTGGTGTCTCTGGCTGGTGTTCAACACACTGTTCGTTATTGACTCCAGATGGCTTGTGTTCCTTCTCCCCCTACCTGTGTTATGCTTTGGCCTTTCCTGGTGAAAGGAGACATGGCAGCTTTTCAAATTATTTGGTGCTTACTAGTAAATCTAGGCTCTAGCTGCATCTTTCCTAGCTTTTTCATAGTGGCAGCAGCTTCACTTCATCAAGGGAGGTCTCTGATCATGTAAACCATTACTGCTATATGATGCTTCACCTTGGCCAGCCTGTTATTACTGCTTGAAAAGGTATTTAGAGCAATATCAGGTATCAGAAAGGCTACTGCTTTTGACCAGTTTCCCTTTCTGAAGGTTTTGAGGGGGGAGGAGAAGTGGTATAATAAAAAGCTTTTTGTTATCTCCTCCTTTATCTCTTCCACTTCATTCAAATCCCCTACTGTGTTGCTTGGTTTTATGTTCATTCTGGCTGTGCAGGGAAGCATTTCAATGGTAGCGTGTGTCTTCCTGTTGGAGGCTCATTATTTTGTTGTATGCAATCCACTAAACTCCATCCATGCACTGACTGGGGAAATCAGTCTTCTGTACTTTATTTTTACCACTAAGGTAGAGGCAACTTTAATATGTTGGGGTGTTTTTCTGATGTAACAGAAGAATGTACTTTATACGCACATACAAAGATTCTGTAGTCTGAATGCTTGTCTCTTACCAGTTGTTACTGTGTGTAGCAGAAACATAAAATCTGTCAGATAAAGGCAAAGCTAGGAGGCTTTTAAGGGGACCTTGAAGTTGTAGGAGGGGGAACCTCTAAATCCAGCATGTATGGTTCTTAATTTACGATGCTGTATTGGGTATTTTATATCCTTGAAATCTCTTTAGATAGTGACTTTATATGGCAGATATACTCCACTTTTTCTTATTCAGCTTTTTATCAGAGACTTAGGAATTGCTTTAGCTCTCAATTAAGAAAACTGAACTCCTGCTTTTCTCCACTTTAGCATGCTTTCATCCATATTACCCCACTGCAAGGAAATCGTATCACTGCAGAATAACTAGTGCAACTGCACTCGTTCTGGGATGCCTGAACACTTCGGTATGCTTATGTTTATATACATTCGAATATAGGTAGCAGAAATGTAGTAACTGCAGCACCAGAGGACAGTTATTTTCCTGATCTTGGAAGTTACTGATCACCTGGGGCTCACTATAACAAAACATGTCCATCCAGCAGAGTATTGTACAACATGCTCCTCCAAACTCACAAACGTACTTGGTGGGTTTTGAGTATCTTAACTCTGTGCCTATTAAACCATTGTTTCATAATAATGTGTTCAGTTGCGGCTTAGGTCTTTGAGCTCTGTAAGGGTAATATTCTTTTACTTAATTCTTTATCTCAGTGCAGAGACAGACACGTTGACAGCAGTTAATTCCACCAAAGACAATATTAGTTCTTGTAATTGAAAGATGACTGACACTGGGGGTTTTCCTCTCCATTTTTCTGCTTCTTCACAGGGATGTGAATTAATTGAGATGATGGATCAGGACCTCACAGATTTCACCAAGTGCCTTCAGATACTCCAGAAAAAGATAGAGAAGAAGGGTCTCCAGGTAAAGGCAAAACATCTTTTGTCTCTAGTTCTTAGTAATTACTCTTCCTCTCCATGTATTTTGATTTATTTTTTAAGTTTGTACTGAAATGAAACTCTTTTCTGTAGCCTTGCCATTCTGTGGTTTTGCCATAATTTACTGCACACCTTGTAAGCATTGATGCTTCTGCTAAGAGGAATTACACAGTGTGTCAATGAAAAAGGGCTGGCTTTCTTAAAAGGCAGCTTGTATTGATTTCTGTTAATGAACTACCCAGAGTGCAGAAGAGCTGTTGTGGCTGGTGTTCAAAGCAAGAGCCCCACTTTGGCATGTAAATATACTTTCAAGCCTTGGTACACTCAGCCTTGATGTTCATCTCCTTCCTCTCCCTTCCCAAAGGTGAGTTGAGGGGAGAGGCAATCTTCCTGCCAACATTACATATGGTAAGCAATACCTCCTTCTGCAGAAAGTTCCCCTGGAATCAAAAGGAACCTTTGCAGAGCAAGCTGTGTACTAAACTTAAAAGGAGCCATATGGAGTTCCCAGCTGCTCATTTCATTTGAAAGGCAACGGAGGCAATGTTCCCCCTCCCAGTCCATAATTTGGTTTTGGAAGCCCGCTATTTTTTTGTCTCTCTGAGACATGAAGTTAAAATTCCTTGGGTATTTCCAACAGAATGAGTTGGTGGCAGATGTGCTCTTGGGATTTCTGCCCATTCCTCCCCTTCAAGGGCTGAGCTCTCTCTTCCACTCTGTACCTATAGGTGAAAGAAACTGAGAAGAAACAGCTGCTGCATCCTCTTACCAATAGTGAGGGCAATAGACATGTAAGAAAATGAAAACAGCAGCATAGGACGGAAGGAGATGTGTAAACCTCCTCTTTCCATTTTCATGGTAGCAGGATAGGAAAGTTGCCTGACTTCCTGAAATCACTGTACTCCAAGAAAGCAGCAAGAGATGGAAATGCAAATACCACTCCTTCTGTCTTTACTCTCCTCTCTTCAGGCTGATAAATAATTAACCTGTTTTTGCTTAAGCTATTTTGAAATGACTTTATCTTCTGAAGGAAATATGGGACATTTCAGAGTGCTGTTGCACAATGCCCATCTGCAACTGTGTCTCCTCTTGCCACCCTCAATACATGCTGTTGTTCATCAGGGTTTTTTTCCCCAGTCAGTATAGACAGAGGGGTTTCTCTATATACTTCTCTTATCTGTCTGGCTGTGAGTCAGGAAACCCTTTATATGGTAGTTTTTTGCCCCCTATAATTTATCATCGCACGAGCACAGAGGGGTAGCTTCCCATCCAGGACACAAAGGATAATGGGTGCCATCAGAACAGGTAATCTATGCTTAGGATTTGTTTTGACTTTGGGGAGTAAGGTGCTGCCCTCTTAACAGAATTACCCTTTGAATGAAGGGGAATTTGAATGTTTCCTGGATTTGGTTCATTATCAGATCCCAGCAATTGCTACAGAGGGATTCTTTAAGGTATCACAAGAGGTTTTATAATGAATAATCAATGTGTGATTAAAATAAGAGCAATGGGAACATGACAGCTACAGATGTGTTTCAACTATAAGTAGCCTATTTGTAAAGCCTTGAATTCCTTGATCACTCCCCTAGGTAAAGCCCTGTTAAGTTGGCTAAAGGATACTGCATTGTAATCCTTGATATTTTGTTAAGTACAAGCCAGAGTGTAATTGCAGTAGTTGCATAGTTCATGCCAATGCACTAAACATAAGATTTCAGTTCAGTTACATGTAAGATGTGCTTTAAATACAATCAGGAGTTTTTCAGAGGTGCAAGGCATAGCACAGGTATGTTTTCTAAAGTTAAGTACTGTGCTCATTCAGCCCTAGGCTGCTTCTTACTTGCAGTGTTTCTTTCATAAAACCTTAAGAAGATGCTATGAGCTGATTCATGCACACTAGCAAAGCATGCACTTCTGGTTTTGGTATTCTTTGTATTCTGACATAAGGAATTCCCAAGAAGTTGATTCAACGTAGACAAGTATGTGAAACTTAAGCAAATTGAGCCAAAAACTGTATCACAATCATATAAATAACTACTTTGGGTTCCAATTTGCCCTATTTTCAAAGTATTAGGTATCATTCATTAGTAGGCTTGGTAATTGTTCTGGATGTCCTTATAATGCAATACTTAGCTTGATGGCTGGTCTCCAGGTACCACAGATTCTGAGTGCTCGCAACATATACTGGCCTTAGTTTATAGATGCAGCCTTTTGGCCCCTCTGAAACTCCAGCCTCTTTAAATAACATGCAATTACACAGGTAATGTGCTGGCATACAAAATGTCAAGTGGTGAGAAACCAGACTGTTCAAGCCATAATCTAAAATGTTCGAGAAGACTGCAAATTTCTTCAGAGCAGAAAGCTACCATTGAATTCTGTGGTCACCTAGGAAATACATACAGTTGAGAAGAAAGGAAGGTCCAGGGTCTGAAATCTAGAAGTGATCAGAGAAGGGTTTTTTCATCTGCATTGGCATTTTTGTCCAAAAGTACAATTTTGCATGTCACAGTGATGGTGTTTTCCCTTCTGGAATGAAGTACCATAAAAGCTTTCCTTATAACTAAGAGTATTCACTAGCTGGAGTATGTCTTCCTAGTTTCAGGGAAAATATTTATGTCTCCAGCTTTGATTTTTACCCACTTTGTCTGGTTTATCCACAGCACTTGTTAAAGAGGAGTATGAGAGACACTACAAATCTGTTTTCCTATGATTTATAGTTGAAGTTACTAAAGAAGGAAAATCTCTCTTTAGTACCTTTAAAAAAATATATTGAAACTACAATCATGCTGTGTTTGCTGCTCTTTCTGGGTAGCAGTATGTTAAGCTAGGAAATGAATTACATGCAATGTATATACAATCCTGTGACATAGTTTATCTGGATTAAATTCAACTCTAAGGAGTGAGGTATATGAAACAGATGTTTCACTCTTGGTTAGAGAGTAAGTTATCACTTACCTGATACACTGAATGGATAAAATTTCTGCTCTGATCTGTCAGTCACCGCTGTGGAAGCTCTATGTCATGGGAGGTTTTTGAGCTCACATGAACACGTGGAGGCAATACTTTGTTCCAAAGGAACTTAAGTTTGTGTAATTTGCTTTTCGTGGCTCTGCACTTCCGTCCTCCTGTTCCGTCTTCTCCCTTCGTGTTCACCCAAATATCATTTGATGTTGGAATAAAGTAGTGAAGGATAATCGTGTTCAACAGCTTTCTCAGAGGTCACCTGAGTGGGAGCAAAGGTGAGATAGACACTCAGTGCCCACACTGGACAGAAGGCTGCAAACTTAAGATTTTGCTAGTTGTTAGAAAATTCAGTTTGAGAAAAGGCCTTAGAGATGCCTTTACCACTAGAAAAGATGCAGCTGGAGTTGACAGTCTACTGAGACACAAATCTGGAAGAAAACCACCTTGTTATTTGTATATCTGTCTTCTAGAATAATTAGCCAAATTCATAACTGCTTTTTCCTCCTGTCTCAAATATAACTTCTTACAATAGTTTCTGAATCCTCAGGGTCACTCACTTCTGGTTTACACTGCATAGCCCAGTCATGCAGAGAGCAGTGCTGAGGTCATTTTGTGATAATCTAAGTCACCTAATTATATGTATTTATAATTACATATTGCAGTGAATATTAGAACAAGCAGTAATTACATACTGCAATGAATGTTAGAACAAGCAGTACCCTTTATATGTGCAAGCTAGAATCAGTCTTAATTTTCCCTCTCCAAAGCCCTAATTCATTTGCCAATTGCATTGTATTGGATAGGTGAAGCAGTGAAATACCACCGTGACTCCTGAAGTTTCTTTCCAACCTAGAGGCTGTTAGATACTTCTCTTTCTCTTTCTGCATGACTGTGAGTATGCATGCGCGCACATGCATGTAAATAAATGCACACATTTTCTTGCATTATACCTTCCTGGCCTTATATGATGCTTTTTTAGCGTCTTTGTAACTCTGTCTTTATTTCTGCTGTATGTTTCTCTTCCAGTGTTTATGGTCTATTGAACACTTAGGTGTGCAACATTTTGCTTTACTGCTTTAATCACTATTTTATCCATTCTGCGGTTATGTGGGTACTCCCCTTTCTTCATTTACAAGACCTTCAAATAAACTTATTTACAGTAATTTCTGTCTGGTTCTACTTTCTGTTCTTAATTTTCTCTCATGTAACACAAGCTATTTCAGGAAAACATTTGAACTGGCAAAGTGGTAGGCTTGCTTACAGTATCTCTTACTTAGAAATCAACATGTCTTGCATTAAAAGTGAAGATTAGTATCTTCAATTTGCAGGCTGGAGAGCAGAAATACAGAAGCAACTTGTCCACAGTCTCCCAGCATGCTAGTGGTACAGTTGGGGAGGATACTCCTACTCCCAGCCTTCATCAAGTGTTTTTTTCATAACAGTGTCCCTGGTTTGACTCACAGGCAGCTCATTGCAGCTCACGGCAGTGAGAAGTGGAAGTGTGTGTATCAGTTATGGAATTCTAAGAGAATCCTCATAATGTAAAGATAGATTTAAGCCATTATCTTTATCTCACAGTTATAAACTCAGCTTTCTTTAACTGTTTCATCTAAAATACCATTTAGTCTTAAAACTAAACTCTGGGACTTTTCATTTAACTTTATTATCTTTTCTGCTTAAAAAAAAGTTAAAGCAGCTCATTTGGTTATACGGGCTGAAGATATAAAAAATGAATTTTACTGAAACCTACATGCCTTCTAGTGTTTAATGTTAGTGTGTTTAAATTGATTAAAGCATCAGTGTCAAGATGAAAAGTGAAGAAATCCAAACCAACTCTTCCTAGAAACCCTTTGCAGTAAAGGGATACTATACTAACATTTCCATTTTTAAAATTACACTTTAAAGGTTCAATCTGTCAGCAGTCTAAGATGTTCTTTTATGTGAATGCAAGCATTCTTCTCTTTGCTCTTTTAAAGAAAGCGTCAAATCAGACTGCTTTCTTTTCAGTTGAGGGAAGCTAAACTA